CACCTGGGTTGGAGTCTGAATGAAGTACATGGTGCAAATACCTGCATATTTGTGTCTGTATGCATGGGTAGAAATGGGATTGAAATGAAGTCTGAGAGCTTGAGTGTATCCTTTTCAGTATGTTGTCCACATACTGGTTTTCTTTGTTATTATTAGATTTTTTTTTTAAACAAATTACAGTGCAGCAGTTCCTTATCTATCACTGTGTTCTATGCACTGTGACTTCAGTAGGTTTTGTTAATTACACTCTGAAATACTGATAATGTGACTCAGTCTAGCCAGTTACCCAAACAGCCTGGTCCTGACTTCTCTTGGCTCCACTTAATCCACAGGTTTTTGCTTAAGGTCAGAAATTGTGGCGTTTGCAGGACAGCAGGCCACTGCTGGGCCTGTAAAATCCAGCTTCTGCTCAAACTGACTGGTTCAATATTTATCAAAACAGCCAGCAGAAGACAATTGATAAGTGACATGTTTTTCTTTTACGTGGTGCTGTGCTGGAGAGGAAGGGCTGGATAACGTAGCTTTCAAATGCCCGTCAGTTATGCTGGCCAGGTCAGTTAGGATGGAATCTGTGTACCATCAGCTCCTCAGGAATAAACACACAGAAGCTCTGCGCAGGCTTTTGGTCAAAGGAATTTTGGTTATATGTCAGCCAGGAAGTGAGGAAATGAAAAATACAGCAGAGTTCATGAAACCCTCTCTTTTCAGTCCCTTAGGAGGAAAACAGAATGTACATGAGAAAAACATCAATTAACCATTGTATTGCTACTGAAGCAAACCCTAGATTTGTAAAATTCACTGTGGCCTAAAATGTTAGTGACATGGAAATCAGTGTAATTTTAGTTGTATCTGGAAAGGATCCTTGTATAAACAGCTTAAGAATACCTAACATTTATATAATTGCAAATATGCGCATAAGTGATCCAGCTGAGTGTCTTTAATGTTCGTAGAAGGAATTAATTTACTCATATGTATGGAAATGCAAAACCTACTTGCCTGTTCCTATTCTGATTGAAAATGGGGACTTATTTTTGGGAGAAAAAGAAAAATCTGGATGAATGAGGTCATATTTTGCAAGTAAAACTGCAAAATATTCATGCTTCTGTTCCTTCATTTTTGGGAAGATACATTGTTGTACATAAGAAATTTTTATATAAATGTTATTAAAGGGAAGGTGGTTTAAGTTAAAATTGTCTTGAAAAATCAATATTCCTCTTTGTTTCTATGTTGATACTAAAAATCAAATTTTAAGAACGGAAGGGAGCACATAGAACACTATGTTGTATAATATATTAAAAGTCTTGTTTAAATTTCTATTGAATATTGGCTTAGGCATGTGTTAATGAGGAAAGGGGGATAGGGAATTATTTTTCATGTAAGGAAAATGCATTTATTTGACCTTCAGGTTAACTTATTGAATTTACCTTAGTTTGGTTAAAAAACAAAAAATATCAAGTATAAAATAAGTTATTACTGAGGAATTTTTAAATTGGGATAAAGGTAGTTATTTGAGGCAATCCTAATAGTTGATATAGAATCAAATATTGATAGTATGCTGCTTGCTAAAAATGAAAATGAGATCCCCTACATTTTTTCCTCTTTCATTTATCAGAACACATTTTTGTGAAGTCAGCTTTAAACTACAATGTCTCTAGGGATATGTATCATATATTTAAATATTATGTCAGTGAAGGGAGACCATAGACAGAGATTATAGAAGTGCTTTGCTTTGCTGCGGGTTGTTTAGATTGTGGATACCCGTTGGTCTCAGTTTATTGGCAGATAATGTTGTCTGTCTTGTATACTGATTTTTATCACAACCGTTTCAATCCCTGCCCCACCCCCTGCCCCAAATTGCTTTAAAGTTATTTAAGAAGTTCTCCCTAGAGGTGTTGGTGTGGCAGGAGTCTCTCGACTTTCTCAGACGTAAATGGAAATAAACCAACTGAAGGAAGAGACGGGCGGTTTCCTGTTGACCTCCTGTTCTTTCTCATTCATCCTTGGCCATCCCTGTTGTGCTGCACCCAGCCAGAGCGAGCGGCTCCTTCCTTTGAGCATAGGTGAGAAGTGCTTTGAAGAGAAAGGTGTCTTGGAGTGAATCCCGGCAGGCTCGGAGAAAGAGCAGTTGGTGGATGAGTTGTATTACTTCCAAAGCAGAGATCACGTTGCCAGTGAAGACCCAAAAGCCTCCATGTAGCAAAGTGCTTAAATCCATGCTGACTTTAAATTTGAAACCACTACTCATATTCTTAAAATCAGTCACGGGCTTAAATATCTTCTTGACTCAAAACCAAGAGCTGGGATCAATGGAGAAAAGACTGGGAAGAGGTTAGTTAGTGAGAAAGCTTGGGATAGGGAATGTGAAGGGCATAAGCCAAAGGGGATGTGATACAGCACCTGGAGATGGGAATGGAAGTTGGTTGGCAAGTTGTCACTGCCATTATACAGCTAACCAACATTTTATCATCCCCTCTGCCCCCACTCTAGGATTTCTGTCCCTGAGTCATGGCAGACAGAAGACCAGAGAAGTCATGTGAACAAGCATGTGAATCTCTTAAGCAGCAGGATTATGAAGTGGCAGTGAAGCATTGCACAGAGGCTCTCCTTTCCCTCAGCCAGTACCCCCCAGCTCACCTCCCGGAGGCATGCCAGGCAGAAATCGACCGCATCAAAATCGAGACTCTTCTGTATAGAATTGCTTCCTTTTTACAACTTGTGAGTGTGACTCTTTAATAGTATCTAGTGAACTGGAAAGAGCAATCAAATACCTTGTACTGTCAAGACTAAAATAAAATTCCGAGTTTTCCTGTGACTGGCATGTTGGTTTGCCACACAGGTGTATGAGGCTTCTCTCTTGTAGTTTTCCCTGATCTGTTTATTTTTCAGGATTGGGACCTCTAAGTAGTTTGGGCCTGAATCACAGTTCTCTAAAAGAATGAAGAAAAGTACTTAAAAAGATTTTTTTTTTTAAAAATGTATTCCAGGCAGGCAAAATATCTGGTTTTAGAGTGTTATGTTTGTACAGTTATGCTTAATTAGATACCAAATTGCCTTATCTTTAAGGAGCATGAAGTGAAGGCTGCAAATCTAAACACTCAAAAAACAAAGTTAAGAAATGCCAGAGTTCAGGTAGCCAGCTCACACCTAATTTAGCTCCATTCGCATAGGCCTAACCTTAGTCTTTTCATTCTTGATCACGTGCTAGTTTTCCATTGCTAGGCTAGAGCGTGTCTGGTGAAAGATGTAACTTTTAGGCTCTGGCAGATTTTTAATGAAAATGTGAAAACTGAGGTCTTTGTAGAGGTTTGTAAATGCAAGGCAAGAAGCGTAATCCTGAATTATAGGTGATCCCACTGCCAAATTTTTGTCCTTCCTTTAAGGCATGAGAGCGCTAGACTTCCTTAAAGGAAAGGACATTACAGTACTTAAGAATAAACCTATCACCTGCTTAACGAACCTACATTTTTCCTTACCTTTCTGTTTTGGAAATGTTATTACAGATTTATAGGGGTCTTGTCCACCCCAAATCTTCATATACGGGGTATGAACAGTTTCATCCCAAGTGGAAAAAGTTTGGCCAAGTTGTAAGACCTGGCTGGGCAGCTTTAAGATAAAGCTTGCCATCGGATTAGGGAGCATTTTTAAACATTCTTTAAATAAATAGCTGAATTGGACTATTCAGTGTGCAAAACAAGAGCTGGGAAACTTCTTAAATTAAGATGTGACCTATCTTATGGCTCCTCAGGGGAAGAGATTCAGAAATAAATCTTTTTTTTTTTTTTTTTTTTTTTAGTGGAGGCTATGTTACTACAGGCTTGACTTCTTAAAATTCTTTACATAGGTCAGTATGCAGATAGATACTTAGCAATATTTAATACATTTCTGACCTGGATGTCTTTGACAATCCTGTGAAGCATGTATCTATGTGTTCATCATAGTGAAAATTATTTCAACAGCACTATATTAGTGCAAATTAAAAAAAAATTACAGTGGCTAGAAAAGAAAGTTAAGCTTTTGCATTTTTTCCTAGGTGGTGTGAGCCACCTACAAACATACATAAACGTGTACCTTTACCTATTCATGTTCCTCTTTTAAAATGTCCATTTTCTGAGAATTTGAGACAAAATCAGTGTTCTAAGAATTAATTATATTATATTTCACATGTGATTGATGTTCTTTACATGTTCCACCCAGGGAGGGGCAAGGTAATGGATTCTTAGAAGTTTTAAGAGAATTCAAACATGTGGTTGTTTATGCTAACTGCAATAACGCTATTTTTAAACTTTTCATATTTTACCTTTCAGAAAAAGTATGGGCAAGCAGATGAAGACTGTAGGCATGGTATGCTTATTTCTTTTTTTATTCCATAGTGTTATAAATTGCAGTCAGTTGCCTGAATTTTTAAAAATTATGCCCAGATTTGTTAGTTTGCTAATAATGTTTCTTTTCTTTTCTAGTTAAAATTATGTATCTGCTTTATAATACCTTTTCTACTTTTTTTTTCTTTTTCTTTTTTGAGATCTTGCTATTTTGTAACTCGTGTTCAAGTACCAGAACTCAAGTTCATGGCTTTGGCGACAGCCGTACTGTTTGGCTAGTAGATACTTCAGTAGACAAATACAGGATGAATTGATAGTGTTAGGACTCTTGTGAAGATAAGACAGCTGATTGTTCCGTCTTTCTTCCTAGGGACATAGTGGCCATTTTGGTTTGCGTTTTGGGACTTGATTCAGAGAAAATCAAGATGATGTACTTAAATTTATTTGTATTTGTTAAAGCTTCCAAATGTGCATATGTCCCATCGAAGTTGAGCCTTTCACCTTTCACTGCCTTGTTCTGTTGGGGTATTTTTAAAGGCATTATCCATCCTTGCTCATGTTCTGGTTTTCATGTATAATGCAAGTGGTTTAAACCTCGCTGACAGCTGAGTTTGGTGAGCATTGGGTCAGTTTATTAGTTAGATGTGGAAAGAAAAGGTGGGTACATCACACCTTTCAGTATTTAGTTCCTTAACTGCTCTTGAGTTTTAAAGGAAATTTCCTCAAATCACAGTTTTGTTACACAGACTGTGTGATATGCTAGTCTGACATTCCTGTGCTAGCAATGATAATCTTTAAATAGTTGCTTTCTGGTTTTGTGTGGCTTTGTTTTTTGTTTGTTTTTGTTTTGTTTTGGTTTTTTTAAAATATATTTATTTGCCTTCACCAATACTCAAGTCATAGTCTGAGGAATTTGTGGGGCTCTGCAGCCTGCTTGTGAACATCCACAAACATAACCAAGAAAAGTAAACTTGCTTTCTGTAGGTGTAAATTTAAAGTTTAACAAATTTTGAAAGGCTGAACATTGCCTTATCAGTACCATTCTGAAAATGGTCTGGATTTTTTTTAAAAGCTGCTTCTTTTAACTGCTGATACATGCCAAAGGTGTAATATTCTGACTAACCTCACCGTTGTCTTTTGTGATGGGAAATGAAAGCAAAAGAAAGACATAAGGAAGGATGAATGATGGTTAAAGGAGGTAGGAGGGAGGATGCTATTTAATAATATTCTCATTGATGAGGTCTGATGAGTTTATCATAGGGGTAGATGGATGATGTTCATCTGTGAAACATTTTCCTGGCGTGTGTGTCAGTTATGACTATCTCAAAGGAACTGCCATGTTAACAATTTTTCTTCTTTCACTGGACAGGCATAGAAGTGGGTGGAATAGGAGCACTGATATAGACTTTTTTTTTTTTTCCTAGTTAAGTAGAGAAAACAGCTTTCCAATGTATATTAGTAACAAAGAGATAGCGTCCAGTTTAATGTTGATTTCCTTAATTCATGCTAGCATGTTCTGCAAATATTTTTTCCAGACCTAAAACTGAGGACATTTTTCAACTTATTAATGCCACATTTATGTATGCATGTAAAAATGTTGTGTATATTTGTATACACATGCTCTGTATTTTCATGAATATATGAATGATCTATTTGGTTGTGGTTCCCTGTGATGTGCTGTTACCAGCTGTAGCCCAGTATGTGACAGTTTAGAGTATCTACGTTGATGATCCTGAAAGGTCTTCGTTTTAGTTTTGTGTTTGAAATACCCCTGGGAAGAAACCACCTTAGTATGGACTGCCTGATACGATGCCTTGATACTCACAGGTTTTTTTACTAGACAGTTTTATTCAAGCTGCTGTTACAGGACCTGACATGTTGCATACCTGTGACAGCGTTTTATTTTAGTCTGAATGATAAGTACATTTTGGAATAGCTAGAGAAATATATGTTTGTTATAGTACACTGCTTGCACTGTTACAGGGAATGATGGTAACTTCCAATCTGTTAAATTATTCCACAAACCTTTAACAAGAGATACTGGTTAATGTGTTGTAGCTTTTTATGTGCAGCTATGTATTTTAGCTGGGTAATAGTGTGGTTAATGATGTGAAATATCATAATTGGACATCGAATCTTTGAGTTAAAATAGCAAACTGTCAGACATGTTCACGCTATTTCTGGCGCTGCTGCTTCTGATTTGGGAAGTAAGCTCTATTTCTGGAAATGTGGTCAGTATCATCAGAGTGGTAAATTCAGATTAATCTTTGAGGCACGTTATAAATAGTATTTAGCTACCATTTCATTTTGAAGAGATGTCTGCTTGTTTGTATGTGAATAATTTGCGGGACTAGTTTTTCTTTAGTCGCTCATGTAATCTGTTAATGGTGTGAACATCAGTTGAGTGAAGAGTTTTTATTTATTATTCTAAAATGTAATCCTGAAGTTGTGGTGAATGTAAAATTCCTGTTAGCACTAACAGGAGCTGTTTGCATCTGCATGAGTGGCAGTATAAACCCAGATGCTGATGTTGCCTGCAGTAACAGTAATACATATTACAGTTCTGTTAATTTTAAACAACTGCCCAGCCTTCTTTTCAACTTGCACGCTTAGCTTACTAGCTTTTTAGTCACTCTGACATTTCGTTTTCTGGACAGGTAATATATATGGTTAAGTGTTATTTCTGCTTGTCTGAAGCACGTCTGTATGGTGAAATAAATCCTTTCACTACTGAAAGTGTCAATGAAAGTGTCTGTTTGGCTAGCTATCTGATCCAGTGCTAGAAAGCATTAGGAAAGTTTTCTGTTACATGGAGCCTGTAAATTTCTGGACTCAAACAATCGTTCCTATATCCTGCACTTCACAGCGTAAGTGAATAAAAGCCCTTTTAAAGTAGCAGGAATTGACCACGAGGAGGTTAGCTATATTTGGAAGCGACAGGGCATGCTTTTTGTGAGCATGAATGGATCTTCCTGAGCATGTTTGTGTTACTGAGAGGTTGTTGGCTGCTACTTTTTTTTTTTTTTTTCCCTTTCTGTGCAGAGGAGCTCCTTTATGTCTGTGTCAGATGTTTGAATTTACCGTTCCCATATTTAATTTTTGTCTATTTTAGCATGTAAACATTCCAACCTTTTTTGAGCTCATGTACAGCATTTCTTAGATGGTGAGAGACAAGTTTCAATTTAATATTAGTCAAGAGCAAGTAATACTTCCTTTACATCCCAGACTTCTTGTCTTTCCAAGAAGCCATGGATTCAACCCAAGTTTCAGATGTTATTTTCATGTTAAAGGTGAAGGAAAACTGTGTCTGGTTTATTAAAATGTATGTGATGAAGCTAATGGCTGCTGATTTGTGTTGCAGTGCTGGGAGAGGGGCTGGCCAAGGGAGATGGATCTTTCCATGCAGTGCTTTGTTGCATGCATCTTAAAGGGAAGCTGCAAATTGTGTCTAATGTTCTTTCCAAATCACTGATGGGTGAATCACTGGTAAGTGGGTTTGCTGCAGTCTACGTAATTTAAAAATCAGTTTTGTTATTTCCTTTTTAAAAAAATATGTTTAATAACAAACTTCTGAACGTATGTTTGGCAGGTTGAAACAAAAAATAATTTGTATGAAAAGGGCAAAGTATATGGGAATACATACGTAATCAGAGTACCTAGGTTGTTGCGTTACCAGTGTTTCAGAGTTATTACAATTTTGAAAAGTGGCTTTTTTTTTTTTTGTTGGCTCTGAGTCCTCAGGGAATGCAAAATAATTTGCGTACCTGTGTGATTTATTAGCATAAAGTGAATCTCAAGCTTTTGCTTACTTTTTAAAAATTGTACCTGACACCATTTTGTATGTACTCCAGGAAGTTTAGCCATTAAAGCAGAAAATGTATTGACAGTACTTTTAAATAACTGTCCCACAGTAAGTTTTAAGACAGCATGGAGAGCTTTTCTGGGGAAAACAAACAAACAAACCAAACCCTTGCATTTCAAGACAAAGATCAAGGTTTGAATTCAGCGGTTCTGTTTTACACTTGAGCTGTCAAAGCTATAAAGATGCTCTCAATGCCATACATTTAAGGAACTGTTCTGACTCTTATGTGACTACTCATACGGGGAAAATTAGGGACATATGCAGGTCTCCAAAGGATAGTGTCCTTTTTATTTCTGTAAACTAGATTAAATAGCATTCAGTTCATCACCGTGAACTGCCGGTGATGCTAAATCCAAAAACACAGTCTTAGCACAGACAAGAGCAGCTCTGGTCAGGCCATGAGGAATGTGTAAGTGACATCAGAAACTGTTGTAGGAGAGCCTATTACCTTGAAATTGGATCACGTCTCCTATATCTTGGTGCTTAACTTAATCAGTAGGTTGTTTTTCAGAGGGAGTTCTGTTTGTCTGTCTGGCGTATATCCTGAATTCCCTTCCTCTGCCATTGACTATTGTTACATTAAAAGAAAAGGTTTTTTGATTTGTTTAGCTGGTGTTTTCAAATGAAAAAAATGTTTCATTGAAAATTCCTGGTGAGGTTGAAGGAAACTTGCCTTCAGAAAAAATTAGTAAAATAGCCAAAAGCTCCTTATTGCAGGAAATGTATAGTGCCCTTGTTTTGAGCTACTGTTGTGCAAATAAAGGTAGCTTCATATAGAGTTCCAGAGTGTCATCCCAAAGTGGAATTTGAGAGGTTTTTACAGGCTTGAGGTTTTTAGACACAGCTCTTTTCAGTAGGAATATTAAAATTAGTAACTAATTTACTAACTTTTGCCAGTGTCTGAGAGGAGAAATGAAACGAAGTTTTGGAATGAATTTATTTAAGAGTTGGAATCCGTTCAATTCTTTCCAGTGACTTAAGAGAATGAGTTTTGGTAACTTTTTTATGCTCTAATGTGTTTAAGCTCAACAGGTTCAATTTGCAGTCTTTCTGTGGAAGAAGTGAAAAATAATTTTGGGAAAAAAGTTCTTCAGCAAAGAGAATAATTTCTGCTGCTCAATAGCAAAATGTAAAGAAGTCTAACAAATGTAGTAGCACTTAATTAAATTTCTGCAAGGGGTTATTGAAATAAAAACCACAGGTCTGGGTTTGTTTGATCAAAGTTTTGCCTTCCACAAGTGTAACATTTGCTACTTAGCTATATATTTCAGATAAATTCAATTTTGAAAGATTTTTATTTCAGATGTACTTGAAGATGCAGTTATTTTAAGTTACATGGGTAATCTTTGCTTTTCAGTGAAAACTCAACAATTTACATAGTCTACATCAGACCAGAAAGAGTTATGAAACTGTAGAAATCAGTAATCTGTAAGGTAGAACCTTAAGAAGAAATTAATCCATCACTACAACAGCAGTGACAGTTTCTTACGTTGATTCATTCAGAGCTGAAGTGTTTGAGAAACCGTAGAATGTGGCTCATGTATAGTGCTTTTCATCAGTAGCTTACAAAGTGCTCTGCGAGGACAGTCGGTATCACTGTTCCCATTTTACAGATGGGAAACTGAGGCACGGAGAGGTTTAGTGACTTCCCTAAGGTCGCCCAGCAGGCTGGTAGCCAAGCTGATAATAGAGAATAGATCTGCTGAGTCCTTGTCCGGTGGGCTCTGCTGCCTCCACGGTACTGTGCACGTAGAGGACTCTTCTGGAGGACAGCAATCCATAAGTATTGTAGCTATTGATATTTCTCTTGAGTGATAATTCTCTTCATAGGAATTTTTTCTTCCCCAAGTTGTTCTCTATGTGCTGCTCTCCTGTACTGATGCTGGCTGTAAGTCTAGGGCTGGTTTTGGCCAGTATAAAACTCTCTTTTCACCATAACGTTTGCTCAGTGTTATGCAGTATATTATTTAAAAATTGTTCATTCTAAGTCAGACCCATTTTTCCATCTTGCACATCTCCTGGGTGGTGGTGCAGGGGGAAATGAACTTTGTTGCCGTGGTTTAATGCATGTGCAGGTTTATGTGTTTGATGTATTAATATTCTTTCTCCCCCCCAGAACGGGATGGTAACTAAAGATCTGACACGGCTGAAAACACTTCTTGCTGAAACAGAGGTAATAATGAGCATATTATTGGGGAAAATAATGAGCAGTACCTGAAACAGCTGAAAGGCTCGTTTTCCCGTGTCCCAGGAGATCTGGGCTCACTGTGAACATACTGGTTCAAACGTGATAGTTTCCACTGGTCTGCCGGTCTTTACCACCCACCTAGTCAGGAGCCTTTCATCGCAATCTTGCATGACGTGTGAGAAAGTAGAGAAAGATGCTAATAGGTTGTTGACGCTCTTGAAGTAGTGAGTAGAAAGAATTCAAAGCATTTAGATCTGTACTATTTATTTATTTATTGTATTTTTCTCTGTTGGAAATGATTCTGAAGTAATAAACATGACTTAAGAAATTGGTTAACGAATATAAATGTCGTCTCAGTGGCCTTTTTGTATGAGAAGTTAATCTGTCATGTCTATTGATTGAATTGCCACTTTTTTTTCCCTTCTTATGCTTTGTTGTTGATTTGGGCTTTATTTTTAATGTAGATTCAAAGCTGAAAGACATCTCAATACAGTTTAGACTTACGACCTTTTAAAAACTTTGCTGGAGTCCACATTAAAACGATTACAGCGTGGAATTTGGTCTTGTAAAAATCTCTAAAATTTTCTTCTAACAGTGAGTGGACTCAGCGTTCCTGTCAGAATTCTTTTTATCAATGACTGCAATGCAGTTGTTAGGTTAATATGAAATTCATGTTTGTGACTGGAAGTGATTTCAGACTTCTGACTAATATTTTGTATTGGTTGTTCTAAAACACATTTTGACAGGAAAGAAGCTAAAGCAGTTCTTGTTGATGAAATTGTTTTGTGTTCCTTAATAACTGTGTTTTTTAAATATAATTGTAGGCAGCTGGTAAAGTACCATCAGGATATCATGTAGAAGATTTAGAAGAAGGTATGTAACTCAATTCTAAAGCCACTTCATTTTGTAGTGGGAAGACTTGGATTCTGCTTGACACTGAGCACTGCATAGTAGTCAAAAAGCAAAAAAGGGCTTGGCTATTGTGATGAGCCTTGGGGACTGAGGTAGAATTATCTCATCATTGACTGAATTTGGAGGCAGAATTTTCTATTTATTGGTCAAAGTGCCATATCAGAGCCTGCTCCATTGTGCAAATTGTTTGAAACCTGCCTTCATAGCCTTTGGACCTTTGTTCTAGGTGAATTTATTAGAGACAGAAAATAATTTTTTGCTGGATAATTTTGCTTGGGTACAAATACAGCTTGGGTTGATGTTTAGAGATGGAGTTCCCTGGACAGTTACTACCTGACTTGTCAATTTGAAAAGTAACCTAAACTTTGACTACCTCTGCAGGGTCCCGGGATGGCTGGCAGTTCCGCCCTCCACCCAGGGGAGTCACAAGCAGTGAAGAGTATACACTATGTAAAAGGTAAAGTAGTTGCTTTATATCGGCATTCTCCAACAATCATAATGTTTCCTCTTTTGTTTAGCTGCTGACAGCCTGATTAAGAGGTCAGGGAAATGAAGGTACTTGTTAGGACTGATTCATTCACAGACTTTTGAAAGAGTCAGTTTATCCAGAAGCACTTCAGTTCTGTGAAATGGAATCACTAGCTCCATTTTCATAAGCGAGTGGTTTGAGGACTGTTTTTCTAGTGGCAGGTCAGCATCTGGCCTTTTTCCCTACCTTTTCTAATTTGTATGATTTCAGAGATGTGAAAAGTTCCCCCAGACAAGAGTTTCAGCAAACTGGAGCACAATGAGGTGTGCTTTGACAGCAGATAGGGTGCATGCCTTCACATATATGGGCTTTGTCTTCGGATAAAGAAAATGTAGAATTTCCCTCTGGATTTCGTAATTTACGTTTTGCATGAGCTCAAACACACAGAGGTGAATTGCCCTACTGAAGATCCGGTGGCTTCTACTGGAGTTTGTCCTCCTTGTCCTTTTCAGTCTACTAGTCAATATCGCCTGTAGCTTGTGTTGTTAATCATCATTACTTACCTAAAACTGTATTAATATGCATGGGGAGGAACTATCATTATGCACTTGATTCTGCCATATATGTAACTGATGCAAATAAGTTATTTTAAAACCATAAAAAAAAGACCTGCTTTTTAAATGACATGACTGAATCGCTGAATTTGGGCTACTTTTGACATGATTTTCTGGAGGTGATAAGTCTTGGCAACTCTTGTTGACTTTTATCATATCTGGTGCATATTCAGCAATTTTTAAAAAGCAGGTATTTGCATTTTTAGCTCATGATGATTTTCTGTTGAGGAACATCTACTCCATGTTTCTGACCGTTGCTCTGAAACATTTTTTCGCTAGCGCTGTAATTAGCTTTATGCACAGTGTTAACCCTTACAGTGAGAAGGAAGTGCTTTACTCAGCAAATCCATGTGAACAGTATCATTCTGAGCATGGACTAAAGATTTTAGTTCATTATGAAGAGGCAGGTACAGGTACTGAATATGAATTTTGGAAGCAGTGGTTTATTTTTCCCCTGTGTGCCATAAAGCAGTAGGAGTACAGAATATTTATTCTAGATAATGAAGCTATGGAATTGCAGGAGGTATTAAATAAGAAACTAAAAAATGAGAAAAAGTGTCAGTTAAAAATATGAACAATGAGAATGTGGAAAACTTGCATAATGATGACAAATTTTAACGTAATAGGCTTTCCTATTAAATAATGAAAAGGAAAGCCACTTTATTTTAAGTCTGCTATGTAGCTAATAAGAACAGGTCAACAATTTTTTATGCTTGTGCTCCATTTACTTTGGGCCATGAAAATTGTGATTGTACTTCAGCTTTCTAATGCAATAGTGAATGGGAACATTTACGATAAAAATATTGAAATTGACTGCCAAGAAAAATATTTTAATGTGAAATATATTAAGAAATGTAACTTGAGAACGCCTTTAGTAATATAGTGGTATGTATTATGATTATTTTATTTATAGCTTGAGCACTCAAACCTTTAAATACCTAATCTTTTTTTAAAGTGTATGCTAAATCAAATTATTATCACTGGTACAAGTGTGGCCTAGATATCCAGGTACTTTTGCTGCAAGGTTTTTGTGTTATAGTCAAGTGTTATTTGGTTTTGTCACATAGCTAAAAGTTCACGTTCTGATTCACCTTACATTACATAATACACATACGCGTACATAATAAAGTTTAATTATAGAAATAGTTCCCAAGTTATCCAGACATTTGCCTAAGCTTACAATACATTTTGAGAACTAGAATGCTTCGATTGTATACAGGCATTTGGAATATCATTAATTTTGATGCATGAGCACATGCCGCTAAATAACAAATGTACGTCTTTAACAAATCCTTAACCTCCACAAAAACAGATCCTTTTAGACTGATGGACCCTTTACCAAGAGGAGGATTAACTCTTTTCCCGGAGAGGTTTCTGTGTAGGTGTATTTAGTAGAAAGGACCACGTGATGTCACTGTTGCTGCAGGAAAAACTGATGAATGAGTATTTATCAGCTACGAAAGAACTATGGGAGGAAATGATGCCCTGTCTTACCTTTGCCCCTGATTAACAGTGTTTTATTCGTATTAATACAGTGCCTAGTCTTTTGGGGGATGGTCCATGATCTCATTGTGTTAATTGCTGTACAACCCCTTGACTCTTTCTTCTTTGAAGGTGGAAATTTCTTAAAACTTTTGTCCCCCTATGTTTCAAAGAAATTGGATATACTTTTCTGGACTTTGCAGTAAGAGAGGCTCCTGCCTCTCTTACAAAGTGCTGTGTACATGTATATATTTCCAAATTAGTTCACATGGACTAAACTGCCTTTGGTTCTGTGAGAGAGACTTAAAAGTAAAATTTTGGTAAATTTCTTTTTTTAATTGGAGACTGAAAAGTTCAAGGCATAATCGTTTTTCCTATTTTATGTAGATTTTTAGAGCAAGGGATCTGCAGGTACGGTGCACAGTGTACTTCAGCACATTCCCAGGAAGAGCTAACAGAATGGCAAAAACGATATGCTTCCCGCTTGATCAGATTAAAACAGCAGAAGGAAAACAAACAATGTTCGGGCAGTTATATGGAAACCTTGATTGAGAAATGGATGAATTCGTTATCTCCTGAGAAAGTGGTAAGGAAAATATACTGCTTCCCTATGTGCTTATATTTAAAACTAACAGATGAGCCTGTTTTTGGCCCTTACTATCAGAGCTGGTCGAATTACTCCTTACCCAGAAATTGTCCAACCAGTTTGCTCCCCTTTCTGTCCTACCCTATATCTTCTTGCAACGATAGCAGAGACTTAGGTTAATCTCTGCACATGTACTCATTCTTGTCAGCAATTCAGTAGAGTTTGTGGATTAATCACAGATTGTTCATTTTACATATTTACTATTCCCAGTGCAGGATGGGTCAGCCAAGTCTCATGGTATTGTTCCTGTTCCTTGACTAGATGGCAGAACTTTTTAAACCGGAGAACAATGAATGGTGAAGCTTTCATGACTTAGTGGAGAATACTCTTGTTTGTGCATGACTCCTTTTCTTTGCCTGCCACTGCAGGCACTTTTGTGAAGACCATCCAATTTCCCAAATGTTCGAAAGAGTTCAATACCGAAGAGTGTGGGGTATGGATATGATCAAACTTAGCAGCTGTTTGGAATTCCAAAGAATGTTTCTGTGGCATTCGACCAGCTCTACTTACCACTGACCCTAAGGAGTTTTCGGTCCATCTATTGTTGATTAAAATCTGGGAAGAGTGGACTTTCTGCAAAGTGCATTAATGAGTAGAAAGCCTGATTCTGGTTTCCTGGTGTCTCCAGTCATCTCATTGATGTCAGTGAGATCTGGGGTCTTCTGGAAATGCAGTCTTTGGGCCTCGTTGTATCAGATCCTTCTTCCCAAATAAAATCATGTTTTACTTTAAACATTTACAATGTGGTTGGTTTTTGAAAGTCAACTCCTGTGGTTAATTGTCCTTAAATGGTTGTAGTCTTTGCTTACACAGAATGATCTGGTAGATTTGGCTTGCTGTCTCTCTGAATTAGCACGTATTGTCATTAATTCCTGTGCGGGAATCAGGATTAGTGCATCAATCCTGCACTATCTAGGAAACCGTTCTTTCTACTTTTTGTAAAAAACCACTACCTTTTCCTGAGTGTTTTTCTGTTGATACTGTCTGTAGAAGTTTAATGTTATCTTCTTTTTCTTTTAATCTAGCTTAGTGAAAGTATAGAAGGAGTGAGAGTAGAACATAATCCTGAGCTATCGGTAACTGTCACCACCAAAAAGTCTCATCAGACATGGACATTTGCTCTCACTTGTAAGGTAGGACTACTTATCTTTTGAAAGTGAGTCAGTAGTAACTAGAATGCAGCCCATAGTCTTTTGAGATTAAGATTTAAATTGCATAATTCTTTTTAAAATAGAGAAACTTCCTAGCACCATCCCTTCTCTCACTTTTCCCAGCAACTCTGGCAATTTTGTATGAACTGCCCAGATTTCTGGCAAGCAGGCAGGACTTGTATCTGCTCTGAGAAGTTGAGAGTTCTTGTAAACTCTCATTATCTGATTGCAAATTAAGATATGCCAATATACTGTCATTTCAACCTTTGCTTTTTTTTCTATAGCCTGCAAGAATGCTGTATCGAGTGGCATTGCTTTATGATGCCCATCGTCCACATTTTAGTATCGTTGCAATATCTGCTGGAGACAGCACTACCCAGGTATCACAAGAAGTTCCAGAAAACTGTCAGGAATGGATAGGAGGAAAGATGGTCCAGAACGGAATAGATCATTATATATACAAAGTTAGTATAGCCTTTAACACAGAAATCTTTGGAACTTTTCGCCAAACTGTTGTGTTTGATTTTGGATTAGAACCAGTCCTCATGCAACGAGTGATGATTGATGCTGCTTCAACTGAAGGTAATGTATTAAATTTTTTTTTTTTTTGGAATAGTGGGAATCTTTCATGCCATCTCTTTCCTTTTCACGTTTCTGGGCAGAACAGCATCTGTATTAACAGCTAGTGAATGTCTTTTACTGCATGTTATGTTCATCATATATTTGAATATAAATAGTGGATAAAAGCTTCAGAGGGTCTAAATAAGGCAGATAACACTGGAGTATGACTGTTACTCGGTGTTGGGATATGGCTTCTAAATCTTAATCTCCTAAATGCTCTAAGTGTCTAGTTTGGTACATGTCTGAAGGCGGCACTGGAAGTTGAAGTATGTTTATGTTTTTGTAATCATTCTTGTATTGATGAAAATGTTAAACACATAGAAGAAGGTCAGTAGAGAGATGAAGTGTTTCTGGGTAAGAATACACCTGGTAATTCGTTCACTAATTAAAACAGACTGTCTGAGAAGTTGGTTTTCTTTCTTTTTTTTTTTTTTCCCCTGCTTCCTATGTCTGTCTAGGGTTGTCAAAGGCAAGAGGCGAAGTATAGACTTCAAACTCAATGAATTGCTGTTGACATGAATTTTTGAAAGTGTGAAGAAAGTGTAACTATATATTTTTGTGTGTGTTGCAGTAAAAAACCCCAAACAACTACATGTTATTGTAAGGGTTGTGTTCTGTTTATGAAATTGATCTTTGCCTCTCAGTTCGCACCTGAAATAACTCCATTGTCAGGAATATGTCAACAAATTGAAAGATGTTTGAAGAGGTGCAAAAAAGAAGGGAACACTTTGATTTATGGTGAAAGACCAAGAGAGCTAAATATAGGTCACTATGTCACTTGTCAGCAAGCAAGGGGGTGGGACAAAGTATGGTAATTTTTAAATGAAAATTTGAGAGATGCAAGCACCAAAGAAACAGAGTTGTAGCACTGGTTGTAAGCAGAAAGAACTAGAAAAAGGAAAAAGAAGGAAGAAAGATGAAATGGAGAAAACGGCAGTTTTCTATTCCTGGCCTTTATTTTTGTATAGCAGGTTAATATTTGCAACGTTAAAAAAAAAAAGCTGTAAATAGCAAATTCAAAGATCGTGAACTGATCTTTCTAGATGACCCGACTACTTGTAGCCAAGAGCAGGAAGGCTGTACAAGTTGTAATGCCTCTTGAGGCAGAGAATATCGCATTGTGAAGGAGAAATGTATGCTTAGAAGCAAGGCTGTGGTCTTTTCAGGAACTATTATATGACCTTCATATAACAACGCGGGTAATCACCGCTGACAGGCTTCCCAAGACACTGAGTTTGTGGGGAACAGGTGTCCTTTTCTTCTAAACCTGTTAAAGATCAGGAAAGCCAAGCCATAACTTACTTGCAGTCAGAGTTACTGTCAAACCAGTCTATGGTCTGGGTCCTTGTTGGCTTAAACTAGTTGCTGAGCAAAGCGACACATGGAACAGCCGATTCAAGTCCACGTGACGGTGATGGGGGAAGGTGAGCTAGCACTCTCTAGCATAAGTTACTGATACTTCCTTTCACATGGTGCTTGTCTGTGTGCAGAGGGATACTGAAGTCTTCAAGCAGGTTCTTTCTAATATTAATTTCAAATGAAGAGAGTGCTGGGTGCTTTACAGATAACTGTAATCCTGGGCTTTTTGCTAAGATAATGTAGGAAGTGTGTAAGCAACCAAGTCACAGGGATAACTATGTTGGATGTGGGTCTTGATTCCATTTTTTTTTTTTACTTTTGGTATATATGGATGGGGATCTCATGGAAGTGCTTTTCAAGCAGAAAGCTGCCCAAGGTCTCTACGTTTGCATGGAATTCAGGGCCCTGGCTGGATATCTAGGCAGGAAAGAAAGGTCAATATTAAAATATTCTAATGGAGGAGCCTCCATTTTGCATTTTAAAATCTTTATTTGCTATGGAAAAAGAGAAGGAAGAGAAGTTTTCTGTGCACTGAGAATGTAGAAAATGCTCTTTACAAAAGGGTCATCGTATGTGCAACTGTGCCAGGAGCTGTTTGTGTCAGGCTTCCAGTGGAAGCCTCTCTAGCTCTAGGAATTAAGCGGCTTTTTCTAGCAAACAAGGGCTCAATCCCAGCATCATTACTGAGCTTTTGTGATCTGAGGCGTGGTTAGTAGCAGAGAAAGCTTCATTTATGGCGAGATGATTTCAAACACAGAAACCACACAAACATGGACTTTTCTTGCCATACAGCTGTAGCTGCTGATACGGTTCAGGCTTGAGGTTGATACTTAAATTTGACTCCCCAGTGAACACCTACTGAGTAGATTAGTGAGTAAGATACGCTGTATTCCTGTAGTCATAGTCAAGCTGAACTGAGATTTCTTTTGCTAAAAAGCTGTTTTCCTTCTGTTTAGAATAAAGACAGTCAAGATGATGTCAAGTATTTAACTTGAATTTGAAAATGTCTTTTTTGCACATTTTTCAGCGTTGGTGTGATATATCCTGGATACCTATCTTAAATCTTACTCAGAGATAAAACATTAAGATATACCATAACTTCACTATAAATGCCAAATATTTTCAGCTCTGTAGTTGAATTGCAATTCTGATAACTGATGCACTGTTGTCATAGTGTTTTTGTGGTGTTAATGGATATATTTTGGGCGGCTGTACACAGCGCTTGGTCTTCTGTTTCTCATTTAAGCAATGTGGTCCCTGAAATTCGGGTGTACTGAAAAATTAATTTCCTTTTAATTTTCTAACTTTTTATCATTTAGGTTACATTTCTAAAGTTTTGCCTAGCAAACTAACTTTAGCTATATAATGCGACTGTCTGTAGAATACACATATTACTGTAGATTTTTTTTTTAAAGGCTTTCACAATATTTCAAATTCAATGATTTCTTACAAGCTAGTTTATTGACTTGTTTTTATTACTTTATAAATTTTATGGTATTATATTGTAAGGTTCTTCATTACTTTATATTTTTGAAATGAGATGATGTTGCAGTTAGGCTTTGACAGCATATTGTGATGCCAAGTCCTTCAAAGTTGTTTGCAATTATTAAAATAAACGTGCTTTCCTTGTTTGTCTGTATTCGTTCTATCTACCATTTACAGAGTATTTTATTTTCCGATATTGTTTGAGAGCCTGCTCGCTCTCTTTGTACACCTGAAAAGTAGGGAGAGTAATTACTAGCAGTGGACTAAATCTATTGTGGACAGGGGAGACTCGTACCTACATTTAGCTCATTATCTCTAGTAGAATTATTTTTAGTAGTGGGTTTAATTTTTTTCTTTTTTTTTTTTTAATAAAACCCAAACACATGCAGAGTTTGAACTTACTTCCTTTCCCTCTTGTGTATCTGCATTCAGATCTTGAATACCTGATGCACGCACGGCAACAGCTACTAACCACAGCTAAGCGTTGGGATTCTACTTCTAAGACTATTGTAGAATTTGAGCCTAATGAAACTACTGAATTGGAGAAGAGCCTTCTTACCAGATACCAAATCCCTCTATCTGCTGACCAGCTATTTACACAATCTGTCCTGGACAAATCATTGACCAAGACCAACTATCAGTCCCGGCTACATGACCTCCTTTATATAGAGGAAATAGCACAGTATAAGGAAGTTAGCAAGTAAGTGATACCTTTATAAAAATACTTCTTAGGTATTTCTTGCTGTCCTTTTAAAATGAGGATGACAACTTTCTTCATTAAACCTACGTGATTTTTTAAGATATTAAGTCTTTCTGTTTCTTGGAAATGAAGTTGAATATGAGTCTGGAAACAGTAACTTTTGATAAAGGTCACTAGCACTTACCAAGTGTAATTTACTGATAACATTTAAAACAGATGGTGTGGATCAGTCTATGCTTATGGTTGTTGTAGAATGTTTTGTTAATGTCTGCAAAATAATTATAGATGGTGTGGATCAGTCTATGTTTACAGTTGGAGGCACTAAACAGCTATTGTACAATGTTTTGTTAATGTCTGCAAAATAATTATTTTTGTTTATAGTTTTTTGGCTCTCTGTACAAAAAGATATTAATAATAGGAATCGTATTTTTGTTCCTTGGTGAAAGTAGGTTATAGCAAAGTAATATATGAAATCTTTGCATAAAAGACTTTGAGGGAGTGTAAAATATGTTTTTCTTTTTTTTTAAGAAAGAATTTGACTTGTGGGTGGATCAAACTCTGATCTTATGATCATGTAGCAGCTGTCTTTATTATATTTATTCTCTGAATAGGCTGAAAACCAGCTTGTGAGTAAGAGACATATAGTATACACTTTTTGTTTTGTTCTGTAATATCGTTAGGTATTATGTACGTGTTACCCAACTGGATTAGCTGCATGAACAAACACAGGGTTAGGAAAAAGATTTGAGCTTCCCATGTGTAGACTCTCATGGAGCCTTTTTTTCTGTAGTTTGATATTTGTGGTTGAAATATTTTGCCTGCACTCATGTGGTGTGGAAGAGTTTTGAAGTGTTGCACTACTCAGAATGGAAAGTTAAAAAGGTGTAGCTTCCCTTTACCGTAACTGGGTGGCAAATTTAGTTCTATCAATTGCTTAAGTTCCAAACCAGAAATGTCTTTAAGATGGACAACTCCTGGAGCTACAGAGGTTCAGCTCAATCACCTGTCTAGAATTTAGGAAGAAAGTACTATGAGTAGTTGTATTTCTAATGCTTTTATAGCAGAAAAATGGTTCCATTTCTTTTTTTGTATCTCAGAGGAAGGGCAGTATATTTGAACTATTTTTCTTTGTATCTTTCATTGCTGCTGTGCTCTGCTCTTGAGCTGGAATCTCACATACAGAGGAGTCGTACTTGAACATTGGCTTCAGCGTACAGAAATATTCACCATCATACATGTTTGTAGTCAAGTTGATTTTTCTAAGGTTTTTTAAAACAAAATTGACTTTAAAGTAAAGATTACAAAATATCATATAGAAGTAAAAAATACTTTGACTGAGTGAATTTTCACATTGAGAGTTACACTCTCATGCCTCGTAGGAAACCCAAGAGCAGCATGCCTGTGGAAATGAAAGGACAGTAAGTGTGTCCTGGGTGTAATGCTTCCCCTCGGGACAGTTTGCTGCAGCGATAAGTTATTGCTCTTCTTTTTCTATTTAATAGATTAATACAAGTAAATTTTAATAATGTTCTTGAAATCTTCTGTTTTGATAGCGTTGATGACAGAAATATTCTTTTGAT